TCATTTAACACACACGGGCTGGACCCTTGACGTATGCCAGGCTCAGTACTAGGCACTAGGGATTCCGGGTGAGTGACCTGGGGCGCCTGCAGCACTCAACGGTCAGGGGAGGGAAGCTCACACATCCGCCATCAATCTACAGCTGACCTGTGAATGGCTTTGGCCCCAAGCAGTGAGCAGCGTGCGCATTCATTTGAGAAATGTCCGCATTTAGTCTAGCGGGGAACCAAAGAGTGTTATCCCCACACCGCAAAGATGGCCCCACGAAGAAGGTCGTTTCCTTAGCCGGGAGTCATTTCTGCAGAATATCCTCAAGGGCCTTGCCCTGTTGAGGAGTGGAGGTCACGGATGCCAACACCACGGTGTCTCCTGAGCTATACCTGTGAAATCAGCTGTAACTTGGCTCTTCCTGAGCTTTGAAGCCCAGTGGAAGTGGAGGCCAGAAGGAGAGAGGTGGGAGTACTTTGGGAACAACAGCAATCTTAGGGCTGCAAGCTTCTCAGAATGTGTTTTCTTTTCCTCTGAAAGAACCTAGATTACAGGAGTCAGGGGAGCCAGGAGGAGGACTTTGACAGAAAGAAGCAGGACGTAGAAACACTGTGGGCTGCCCCTCTGAAAGCCCATGGTTAGACCTCCACCACACTGGGTGCCGGCGCCTGGGGACCTTTCTGAGATCAGGGAGGGGCAGGAGTGACGGGGTTTCAGATCCAGGGCCGGAGTTCTCCACTTTGCTCTGAAGATAGAGCTCCATTGTTAGGATTGAGTGTATGGGAGGAGGGGTGGGCGGGAAAGATGTTTTCTTATAGCCTAGCTTAGCTAAGAATACTATGTTTTTAAGCTATTTAAGAGAGATGGGAGAGAAGGAACAGTGAGTACAGATCTGCTAATGAGGTGGTCATGCCTCCTGGAGAGCAGGCTGTCATTCCATGGGGCTCCGGCAGGGGGAGTGATGAACCCCCAGCTGATGGCCCCTGAGCTGGAAAGAAGATTCTTGATTAGGTCCTTACCTGGAAAAGCAGCATCTGCAGCCCTGCCCGTTTGTGAAGGGAAGAGATGGTGGGACACAGACTGACCCTGTTGATTTGACTCCTTTTAATGTCCACCCCTGTGCTCCCATCCTGTACATTCTTCAAGACTGCAGTGTATATGCTAAGAAGCACTTGGTCCAAGCACAGATGCCAACCACTCTGATAAGTGGAAGCTGCCAGATTTGGGGCTAAGAATCTGCAGAATGGTATCTGGCTAAAGATAGCCCTCAATTCTAATATTTCATCTTCCCCAAAGCATTCCGCCAGTCAGGGTTCACTTGTCTCTGCCTTGTGGACCCTGCCCTCCAAATCAAGGGTCAGACCACAGCTGCATTGCTGGCGAGTCCTCCTCTGGCTAGTGCCTGGGCCCTGAACTGCTGTGTCCCTCTGGGCTGCCACCCTCCCAAGAGGAGCAAATTCCACAAACAGGCCTAAAGTACAAGCACAAACCACCAGATCTACATTGGAACGTACCCAATGCTAAGGAATTCGTAACATTTCTCAGACGCATTTTTCATAATCTCAGCCACCAATTAGTACACAGCGAGTTTGCAAGTTTACACACACTACTGAAGTGAACAAAGAGAATACAGCATCTTTATTTCCTATAAAATCTTTCTCATGAACTCCTACCCTCACCAGGCAGCAAAAAAGGGAAATGGAGAACTTTAAATTTGATCTTGTTCATTATAGCATCTCAGGTTCCACGGAATCTCATTTAGCCAATTCAGTTTCTTCCAGGAAAAAACACAGCCCTGAAGATGGATTCTTCTCCTCCTCTTGCTCTACTTCAAGGGGGCATTTTATGTTATAAGGTACTTACTTGACTTGGTTGTAGATAGGAGAAGGGGGCCTCAGACTCGTTGGGGACCTTAGATCCTAGTTGTCTGGGAGCTCACCAGAGGATGACTGCTGACCTCTGAGGTGTGACTGGTCCCATCTGGCCTGCAGGGCATCCTGCTGACACCCTCCACTAAAGGCCCAACTCCCAGCCATTTGCTTCCGCCTGAGAAGCCCTGATCAAAGCTGTCTCTTCTTTTGGACCCCAGGGGACAGGCCCTCTAGCAGCTCTGTGTCCCCTCACCAGGGCCCTGGGCAGAAGTGATTGTAGCATCTGCCTGTGTCCATAGTGTCCGTATTCCCACTGCGGCCAATTTCAAGTTGACAACATGAGACTGCTCCACACAGAGCTGGGGAGACACACACAGTTGGCTATCATGCTCTGGAATAAGCTGGCTGCAGCCCCCCACAGGCCCTGGGGAATTTCTGGAATCCTGCAGGTCATGCTACCCCGTCTCACTCACCTTCTCCCTCTAGGCCTGCCCCATGATTACTTCCTGCCCCTTTAAGTGTGGTTGTAGTCAGAATACCTCCCACACATGGCTTCCCCCCTGCAGGGTCCTGAGAAGCCCACCCATCCACCCATCTGTGTCACCAATCTCCCCCCATTCCTGGATAGGTGAAAGCAAAGATGTGTGCACCCATCTCCCCCTGTCTCCTTCCCAGGATCCGCTCCAACCAAAACTGTCAGTCTGTCTACACCTGTTTCTCTCCAGCAAGGCCCTCACTCATGTCATGTTCCTCTTAATACACAGAGGCTTAAGCCCCACATTTGTGTCTGAATGCAGAAGCGGTTTCCCTCTATACCTTAGAACCTATTTTATGACATGAGTCCTCCAGATGGAGGTTTCGATCGATTTAGTATCCCCCAAATATTATCTCTATCACAACTGTTTAGTACATGTGAGACAATGTGCTAAGTCTCTATGTCCACGATTTCATTTAAGCTGCACCATGACCATAGAGGACTCTGTCCCCATTTTACAGATGAGTTAATAGACTCAAAGAGCGGGCTCCCTGCTCGGCAGGGAGTCTGCTTCTCCCTCTGACCCTCCCCCTCTCATGTGCTCTCTGTCTATCTCATTCTCTCTGTCTCAAATAAATAAATAAAATCTTAAAAAAAAAAAATAGACTCAAAGAGGTCAGTAACTTGCCTAAGGCCATTCAAGTAGTAACTAGCAATGGTAGAATTTGAACTCAGGTTGAACTCCAAACCTCCGCTCTTTACCCGATACTAAATTGTGGAGGCACAAACTTTGTCTTTGTGCTGAGGCTATTAGAAGACCATGGAGTCTACAGGCATTTTTTTTTTTTTAAATGGGGAAGGAGGGACATTGCCTAAGAGTTGCAGCCATTGGACATATTTTCCTACTTCTTAGGTCCAAGGAGAATGGGGAAAGGGGTGTTGGCAGAAATGGTGCTCCCCCACCCCCCCCCAGACACTCAGTATCCTCCTGTAGTAGAGGCAGCTAGGGCAGAGAGTGCCCGAAGGGACAGAGATTCCCCTCAAACCACCCAACCACCCCCAAGAACATGTTTCTTTCGAGTATTCACTGCCCCACTAAGGGCACCGTCCCCCCAACACTCCTACCAGAAACATGACAGCCGGCCCAGACCCCTCTCACCGCTCTGTGGGCACATCACCTGGTATCGTACATAATTAGAACCCCAAATGTATCCCGAGTCCACCCCTTCTCTCCCTCACTATACCACCATGATCCAAGCCACCCATTTTTCCATGTATCAACTCCTACTCCCCCCCACCCCATTCTCCACAGAGCAGCTGGTGTGAGCTCAAAAACATCAATGGTGTAACTGCTCTGCTAAAAATCCTTCAGTGTCTTGCAGTCTCGCTTAGAAGACAATCCAGTATCTTTAGCAGAGTCTTATACGGTCTGTCCCCTGCCTGCCTTCCCCTGCCCACTCACCGCCCCACGTCATGCAGAGTTCACCCGGCTCCGGCCATACTGTCCCTTCTGTCCCATCAGGCTCTGTTCCTGCCCTGCCCCCACACTGACCTCCTGTATTTTACTCCTTCTGCCAAAATCCTCCCTCACACACACTCTGTGCTTGGCAGGCTCCTTCACAAACTTCTGATCACAGTTTCAATATGACTGACCTGCTATAGGGCCTTCCCAGGACTTTATCTAAGGATGACCATTCCCGTTTGTCCCTCTTACAAGCCTAGGTTTTATTCTTTCACGGTTTTCCCACACTTCGTCACTGCATACGTGGTACTTTACTTGCTCATTGCAGGCTCCCTGGAGCCTGCCGGTCCCAGGAGGACAGAACCATCATCTGTACGGAGCTGGCACCTGGCGCGTCATAGGTGCTGACTCAGGTGAATGCATATGGCAACTCCGGAACCCCGATACAAAGATAGGGCAAGATTCAATTTAGATTTTAATGAGTAACTATTTCTCCAGCACTGTACTAATGTGGGAGCTTGGGAGGAAACAATGCTTGTTCATCAAACAGTCTTTCATTTAGCCTGGAACAGGTAGGAGAGAGGTAGGAGTAAGCATGACTGGGGAGGTGGGAGAACCGATACAACATGTGGTAACAGAAGGGATGTCAGGCTGACTCTGTGGTTTGAATCAATATCAACATCAACAGGAAACGCCTCAGCTCAGATCCGCCCCCCACAGGTGGATATTCGTGTATTAATGCATACATGTGTGTTAATGCCCTTAAATACATATGTACAAAGTGGACTTTGCACTACTAGAATCTCAACTCCTTGAGTGTATAACAAGTACAATGGGCAGGCAGTAGACCCGCAACACATTTGTTATAGTAATTTTAGATTTTTTTTTTTTTTGAGAGAGAGAGCGCTCACACGGTGCGGGGGCTTGGGGGGCAACACGGGGCTCAATCCCAGGACCCTGAGATCATGACCTGAGCCGAAGGCAGATGCTTAACCCATTTAGCCACCCAGGCACCCCTGTTGTGGTAATTTTAAAAAGCAAGTGGAGAGAATAGTCTTATTTTTGCCCATTATCCAGGTTTTGCTTCTAATCCTTCATTCTAGTTATTATGTGAAAGATGTGAGTGTTTTCGATTCTTTTTGCAATTTGTTCTCATCCTGTCTGAGACATTAGCTGATCAGACCCCTTCTCCCCTTCCTCAAAGCATCCCCCAAAGCTTCAACTCTGGAGGCGATGGGTCGAAAAGAAGAAGATGACTGTAGCTCCTGGAAGAAACAGACCACCAACATCCGGAAAACCTTCATCTTCATGGAAGTGCTGGGATCGTGAGTCCTGGGGCTGAGAGACGGGGCAGCGAGGCTGCGCACTGGGTGGGGGGTGCCTGGAAAGAGTTGTTCTGGGCCAGCAGCGGCTGACAAGCTGGGACTGAGGCTGCTGGGACATCATCTCAGCGGCTTGAAAGGACTAGGGAGGTAGGGTAGAGGAAGGTACCTTGGTTTCACAGGCTGGGGACCACAGGGAATACCAGCCCTTTCCCTAGGCTCTGCGTCCTGGCCCACCCCTAGGGGCCCTGCTTCTAGATCTGGGACAGCTTGTGGCTTCTTGCCTAGCGGCAGGAAAGAGGCGTTCTGGGGCACTTCAGGAGATTCAGTGACCCTAGAACTTCCCTGGGCCTCCTCCTCCAGCTTCTTCATTTCCCCCGGCAGTAAACATGTGGGCCAACCGCACTGTCTGCTGTAGACAGAGGAGAAGGGGCTTCTGGGCCCCAGAGAGCTGATGGGTACACACACCAGAGTCGGCTCCCCCACACCAGCATTCTCTCTGCCGTATATTTAAGTGCCGTGTTGGAGAAATAAAGTCACGCCGTAGTCCAGACTCCTACCAGCCTCTGGAGTCTGCGCCTGCCCCGTGACAGCGATTACACGGCTGCAAGAACAGAGACAGCCTGTCTGGAGCTGACGGTCCGCTCAGTCCTGCCGCTCAGGCCCCCAGCTCCGGAGCCTCGGGACCCCAGCTGGCCAGCTACTTCGTCTGGGCTAACTGGGCCCTGGGAAGTGAGGGGCAGTGAGGAGGCTGTCCATTCGAGCAAGCTTTCCCTTTAGCCAGCTTGGGCTAAGTGCAGCTCCCTCTGTCTTGGCTAGGAGGCAGTGACCTCGGGCAATGACAGTTGCCCACACTGTCGCTGTAGACTCAGAGGAGCCAGAGACGAGCCCCCCTGCCCCAGCTCTCCCTGCCCAGGCAAGTGTCAGGCTCTGAGCACCCAGGAGGATCTCGGTGCTGGGGCTGGTCATCGGAGCGCTGGCCCTCCATCAAGGACCTTTGCCAAGACGGGGGTGGCTAGAGAGGGGGTTTTTGGCAGGAGAGAGGGACGAGACTCATGCGTGAATCAGAAATGATTTGCTAAGAATCCCAAAAATCAAGAGGAGGAGGGAGGATGCCCGGGGTGACAGGCGCTTATTCACGGTCTGCTCAGATGTGTGCTGTGCGGCTGTCAGCAGCCAGACACATGCCGTTCTCGTGGAGCCCGGCCACAGAGGAGCTCAACCAAGAGGGACATCAGAGTCACCGGGGGAGCTTAGCCCTCTAACTTTCAACTGTGAGAATACCTAAATTTAAAAAATAAGTGAAATAATGGTACAGCGGACCACCAATATATCCACCACCTCAATTCAACAATTGTTAACATTTCACTATATTTGTTTTATATACATACATACATCACACACACACACACACACACACACACACACACACACACACGCACTGATTTTCCCGGATAATTTGTAAATAGTTGCAAACATCATGACATGTCACCTTGGAGTGCTTCTGTCTGCATCTCCTAAAAATAAAGGCATTTTCTTCTATATGCACAATGGCATTGCCACACTCAAGAGAGTTAATTATAATTCCCTAGTAGCATTTTAGCCTAGGTCGTTGTTTTTTCTTTTTTTTCCTTTTCTTTTTCTTTTCTTTTTTTTTTTTTTTAAATACAGATTCCTGGTCCCAGACCTACTGCCCTGGGATTTGGGGAGCTAGGACGGGGCAGCCAGGAATCTGTATTTTACATGCTTTCAGTGGCTCTCACCTACCCAGCCCCGCACTGATTTGGGGAACTGAGAGGACAAGACAGGGGGCAGGTCACAGCTATTGCAGCAGTTGGGGCTGAACAAAAGCTAAAGAGTAGGCACCCCTGTAGTGCCCAGGAGGGGGAGAGGCAGCCCCAGGCTGCAGACCCCGTGTAGTTACCACAGTGAGGGGCTGAGGGGAAGCGAGCAGTGGGCAGAGCAGACTCCTCTGAGTACGATGCACCAGAAGCTCAGGACCCCCAGCTCCTCTGGAACAACCCACCAGGGAGAGAAGGCTTTCGCTAAATCTGCCCAGAGTCACCGACACTTCCAGGGCCCTAAGGCAGGGAGACTGGGCAAAGCTAGTCCATAGCAGGGACTTTGTCACCCAGGTGCGTGTCCTTCTGCTTTCACTGTGCAGGAAGAGACTTTTCTCCTCGGACCTCCCTCACCTCCCCCAGCAACCAGTCTCCCAGCAAGAGGGGAGAGCTAGTCCAAGCAGGAAAGGCAGACCAAGTTCTATTGCAGCAAAACAACCCTGGCTCCCGAGGCTCTGCCTGTCTTGCCTTCTGACCCCAGCAACCTTAGCTGCTCGAAACTAGCTCTCTGCTCCCTTTGCTCCCCAGTCTGACCGACGGCACAATTAAGCCTTATAATCGCTCTCCCCTGCCCCGACACACACACACACACACACACACACCATACAAAGCAGCCTGAGGCAGAAGGGCAGTAACACCATTTCGAATTACCACAACACTGCACAACTCCAGGTGGTGCTGTTTACACATGCTGCACCCCCAGGAAGGCCTGTTTGATCTCATTCCACAGGAGGACCTGGGTGGGTGTCAGCTTTGAAACTAGGGGGCCACCCGTGTGTACAGGTGGAAGGGGGGACTCTGAAAATGGGTCCTAGAAGGTCACAGCCGGCAGGAATCTTAACAGCTGTGTGGTCCACCTCTCTCCTTTCACAATAAGGACAGTGGGATCTGAAGATGAGTAGAACGCACAGCTAATCCCAGGCCAAACTTCTCGCACATCCAGCCTTCCATCCAACCATCCATCATACATTTCTTGAGCATTTTCCATCTGTGATCAGGCAGAGGACAGGGTACTCCTGCACATTCATCTCCCCTTGTTCCTTGTCTCATAGTTCACAAATGGTGCTGGACCCCGGTTAGCCCCATCCCTACCTGCTGTCCTGCGCCTCCATGCTATTCCTTGGACTTCCCTCTCACCCCCACCTGAGATATCACTTCCAACTTTTCACTGGGCTAACTCCCATTCACCTCTTAAAACTGGGTTCAGGGAGCTCTGAAGTCCAAGGGCCAGGAATTACCTGCTTCTTAGCTACTCCAAGCAACTGCATTGTACACACTAAAAAAAAGTGCCCTTTTTTCCAGCTTGCTGTCTGCTGGGGGAAAAAGTGTTGTAATAATTATTGTACAAAGATGTACAGTGGTTCCAAGGTGAATGGCATCTGCTGGATCGTGGACCAGAGCAGAGACCCTGTCTTCAGTGTTCATTGTCTGCTTCTCTGTATGTGTCCATCTCACACACCAGACTCTAAGCTAGACTGATACTCATCGAGTGCCTAACACAGAGAGGTTCCATCAGCTGAACAAGCATTCACTGAATGCCTAATAACATTTTTCGAATCAAATGTTAATGGCTCATTTGTCTGTGTTCCTCACTTGTCTACAGGCCTCTTAAGAGCAGAAACACTTACCTTTTTATCTCCAGTGTCTGACTCAGTAGGTGCTCAATAAATCTTGATTGAAGGGTTGAGTGAAGGAATGAGTGACTGAATAGAGCAGGCTCTGAAGGCTCTGATTAATTCCGATCGAGTGCAGCTGGGGGAGACAGGAAGCTCAGACCCAGGAAACACCAAGTATTTTCTAACGCAGATTCTCAAAGTCCTTACACAAGCTTGACTGCTGTTGGGCCTCCATTCTAGAATCCCCAGATGGCAGGAGAGAGGGTGACTCAGATGTTTCCTCCCTTACACTCTATCACCTCTTGTCACTACGAGGTGTCCTCCCTAATGGTATTCAAATAGTAATAGTAATAACAATAATAGTGTCTGATACATGTAGTTTAACAGGTGTCAGCAATGCTTTTAAGCACTTTACATATGTGAATTCATTTAGTCTTCTAAACAACCCTATGGATCAGCTACTATTGATACTCCCACTTTTCAGATAAAGAAACTGGGTTTATAGAAGTTAAGTGACTTGTCACCCAAAAAGCTGAGGTCCTCACATGGGCTCCTGGGCTCCAGCATCCACTGCTAGCTAACTACAGCTCCAATAGCCTGGTCACCAGAGGTCCCTTTTAAAAACAAGAAGGCTATAATTTGTAATCCTACCCTGTGTTTCCATTGGCTTCCATCCTCTCTATCTTCAGAAAACCAGCCCAGAGCTGCTGGGTCCTGTCTTTCCTTCTCACAGGTCCTACTGAATGAGAGGGTGCTCAGCCCCCGTAGCCTCTGATAATAGGTTCAGGGTAATTATCACCATCGAAAACGGAGATTGGAGTTTTTTTCCATCACTGCCTGAGCCCTGTCCCCAGGGCCACCTCCAACTGCCAGCCTAGTGCAGCACACTACACCGTCCTGGAAGAAGCAAAGTGAATTGACTCTGCAGTGGCCCCTCTTTAATGGGTCGGCCAAATGGAAATTTCTCCATAACCAAAGCAGAGTCCCTGGGGGCCCTTCCCAAATTATAGAATCAGGAAATAGCACCGGCTGGTCTCTGAGTCTGTAGTAGAATCTTTTCCTTCTCGAAAGAAAGGACACAGGGCTGGTCAGATAGGCTCTGCCCTCGATACAGCTCCTCAGGTACCCACAGTAAAAAGGGAAACTAATTACCAGCCACCCTTTCCTTCATCTACCCCTTGGTTTTGCCTCCAACAATGTTCTCTAGCCAGCCAGTACTAATCGTTATCTCTTGGTGTCTTCTACTTAGAGGAGCTTTTTCAGAAGTTTTCCTGGTGAAGCAAAGGGTAACTGGGAAGCTCTTTGCCCTGAAGTGCATCAAGAAGTCACCTGCCTTCCGGGACAGCAGTCTGGAGAATGAGATTGCCGTGTTGAAAAAGTGAGTGGGTCTTAGGGTTGGCCAGGGACAACCGTGGGATTACATTTCCTTCACAAATTATGTTCGAGAAGGACTGAAGCTGGATTTCCATACCCAAAGGCTTTGCTTCCTTGGATTGCATTGATGGGTCCATTTGATCAGTCAGCTAAGTTTAGCCAGAGAGGTGTCTTGGCTGGTTTTGGGGGAGGGGAGGGGCCGGGAAAGGGGTGCAGCAAATTGATTAGCAAACCAACTGGTAGCAGACTCGGGCACGGGGACCAGAGAGTAATTAGCTCGAAGGCACAAAAATCAATTGAGGGCCAATACCAGGAAGAATCAGTAATTAAGGAAGCAGAATAAGATTTGGAAATTAGCCTGAATTGTACCAAAGCAAATATAGGTTCAGCACCCAACCATCATGATAGGAGGCCACACTAACAAACCATGAAATGGTAAAGCAGGACCCATATAATAAAGCCTTGTGGAACCCCCATGGTGTGCCAAACATGTGTTAGGGACACAAGAATAGGGCTGGCAAAATTCCTTACCCTCAGGAGCTCACATTTTCTGGGCAGACACAGAGGTGCCCATAACAAACTCTAATCCCACTGAACATGAGCCAGGGGTAGCAGCAGGCAAAGTCTGGAGAAGACAGAGATTCATTCTGCCTACCTGTGTGCTTTTATGAGTATGGGGTATTAGGTACATTTTCAAAGAAGAGGGACCTTGATGGATGAGCAGAATTTGATGGAGACAGGAGAGGCAATGCAGAAAGGGAATTCAGGTGGAGAGTAACATAAACTTTAACATAGAATTGTGAAAGTGCAAAGGATCTTAGGAAAAGTGAGTGTTGGGAGCCCCTAAGCTTAGAGTGAGGACCATCAAGGGGCAGGAGATGGAACCAAATGAGACCTGATTATGAAAGGTCTTGGATACCATGATAAAGAGCGCTGACTTTATTCTGTGGGCAAAGAAAAGTCATCAAAGGGTTTTAAGGAAGGGATCATATGATCAGATTTCTATTTTAGAGCCATCCCTCTTAAGGATGGTGGAAGATGGATTTGGTTAGAGGCTAGAGGATGGGAGACCAATTCTAAGCCTTCCTCAATAATCTCAGCAAGGGATGAGGATAGAAGCAAAGGTAATAGGATCATGTGGCAGCAGGAAGACTGGATTCAAGAGACAGAAGTGACGGGGTTCGGGTAGGCCGGTAAGAGTACAAAAGAGAAAAGTATTAAAAACGATGTGGAGGGGCGCCTGAGTGGCTCAGTTGGTTAAGCATCTGACTCTTGATTTTGGCGGGTCATGGTCTCATGGGTTGTGGGATCGAGCCCCATGTCGGGCTCTGTGCTCAGCATGGAGTCCACTTGAGCTTCTCTCTCCCTCTCCCTCTGCCCCTCCCACCCCTGCTCACTCACTCTTTTTCTCTCTCAAATAAATAAATAAGTATTTAAAAAAATGATGCTGAGATTGAGCAATTCAGTGGACATAATATCATTGCTTGGGAAAGAGAACCAAAAGGATGTGTAGGCTTGGAGAAAATAGAAAGACATTTGCTGGAACATATTGAATCTGTGTTTCCCCCAATCAGTACATGGAGGATGCTGGAGATACCAGTTTGGGCTCCAGAGAGATTAGAGCAGAGACAAACTGTGGATTCATTGAGAGCAAGGACTATGGTGGTCCTTCTTACCATTGCATTATATCATCAGTCCCTAACAGCATAGATGCTCAGTCAATATTTGTTCAGTAAATGAACCATTGATAAATTAATGTTAGCACTGTCAGTGAGTGAGTGTGGTTGAATCCATCAGGTAACCATTGTGACAGATCTATATTTTTAGAAATTAAACTTAAACATGATAGCTACTGTTTATGTGTTTACTATTCCCCAGGCACTGTACCAAGCATTTTACATGCATTATCTCTTTTAATCCTGATATAACCCTATGAGAGAGATGTCCTTTACAAACCAAAGAGTGGGATTTAGAAGATTTGAGAAAGCCAGCCAAAGTCAGCCACCTTCTGCTCACCTCGGCCCCTGAGTAATCCCAGGCAGAGGGAATCTAGAGCAAATTTTCCTGAACACAGTGCTATTGGCATATTAGACAAGACCATTCTTTATTGGGTTGGGGGGCTATTCAGTGTGCACTGTAGGATGTTTAACAGCCTTCCTGCCTCTACCCACTAGATGCCAGTAGCTCCTACCCCCTCCCCAGTCACAACAATAAAAATGTCTCTAGATATTGCCAAATGTCTCCCGAGGGACAAAAGAGCCCCTGGTTGAGAATTACTGATCCAAGACGTCCCACAGAACTGACCCCAGAAATCAGCATCTTCCTTGCTGCTCCTCAAATACTCTCGAATAATGATAATTTTGCAACAGTCCTTCCATGGTTACCCATGAGGAGGCTTAGCTAACCTGATTCTCTTCTGTTGCAGTCCACTTTCGTCAAGGATGTTTCTGAAGGAGATCTGGATACCCATTTTGTATAATGATCTCGTTTGGGGTGTTCACTTAGCCTTCTTCAGTTCTTTTAACTTTCTCTTTTGTTAAAGTCTAAAGAGATTTCTGGAGGAGTGACCAAATGTTGGTTCCCTGAAGGCAGGACGATCAATTATCCATTAAAAAATATGGATTGAATATCACCCTGGGATCTTTTCTCTAGGATTTCTTTGTGACTGCTTATTTATTAGGAAGGCTTCACAAGGATCCACTCTTCCTAAACATTGTCATCAAAAGTCCCTAACAGAAATCAAAGTCCAGTGGGCTGGGTGTCCGTTCTTTGTCTGAACCACCTAAACCACAGACCCCTCACCATGAGCCTTACTTTTCCCCAGGATCAAGCATGAAAACATCGTGACCCTAGAGGACATCTATGAGAGCACCACTCACTACTACCTGGTCATGCAGCTGTAAGTGGAAGGTGACCCGCTCCCTCCACAGATGCGTCGGGGACCCGGGAGGCCTAGAGGAGGCTGCTCGGTGATGAGGGGAGTGTGGTGATTCAAAAGATAAGATCAAAAATTAGCTAAAGAGGCTGTCAAATGGCAAGAGTTCTCTCAGGCTAAGTATGCTTCTGGTCATCAGCGTGTTCTGCATGGACTGGGGGGTAAATATAGGACTGATTAATGAGAGGGTCCTGCTAGTGCAGCCTCACCAGTCATTAAGATATTGTCTACAAGTCAGCAAATAGCTGGGACTCCAACCCATCCATCTTCCCTGCTGTCCCAGCCACTGCCCTCAGACTTTCTGGACCTTCCCACAGCCCCACAGTTGAAGGGATAATGCCTGTCATGGCAGGGGACCTCCAGAACCCTTCTCTGGCACCATGGCTCGAGTCCATTTTGACCAGTCTGTGTCCATCAAACTGAATATTAAATGTCTTAATGCCGGGGCACCTGGGTGGCTCAGTCGGCTGAGCAGGCGACTCTTAATTTTGGCTCAGGTCATGATCTCAGAGTCCTGGGATCAGGGCTCCTCATCGGGCTCCATGCTCAGCAGGGAGTCTGTTTGAGGATTATCTCTCCCCCTCCCCCTGCTTGCTCATGCTCGCTCGCTCGCTCGCTCGCTCTCAAATAAATGAATCTTTAAAAAAGAAATAAAAATAAATGTCTTAATGCCACTCCAGGTAAAATTACTGTGGGGGCGCCTGGGTGGCTCAGTTGGTTAAGCGACTGCCTTCGGCTCAGGTCATGATCCTGGAGTCCCGGGATCGAGTCCCGCATC